TTAAGTGAAATTCCCCCATAGAGAACATCGTTAAACGATGGGGGAAATTCCTCAAAGAAACCCATCGCTGTGTGAATTCATCGTTGTATGAAACAATCGTTGTGCGAGGCACCACTGTATACAAATATTAAAACGGAACAAATACCACTCTGAGAAATGGTAAGCAGAAGCAGTACTAAAAACACAGTCAAAGCAGTAATGCATAGCAATTAATCTAAAAGTCACACTCAGGCAACCAGTCATATAGAGAAAAGCTTGCCTGAAGAGAAAGGTCTTTGTCTGCTTGGCAAAGGACAGTGAAGATGGGGCCAGCCTGGCCTCCTGTGGGAGGGAGTTCCAAAATTTGGGAGCAGCCACAGAGAAGGCCCTCTCCTGTGTCCCCATCAGACACAGCTGTGAAGGTGGCAGGACTGAGAGGAAGGCCTCTCTCCTGATTATCTTAACACCCAGGCAGGTTAATAGAGGGAGATACGGTTTTTGAGATAGATTGGACCAAAGCCACTTAGGCCTTTATAGGTTAAAACCAACACTTTGAATTGTGCCTGGAAATGAATCGGCAGCCAGTCAAGCTACGGTAACACAGGGGTTAAGTGATTGCTGTAGGCAGCCCCAGTTAGCTATCTGGCTGCTGTCTTTTGGAACCACTGAAGTTCTCTGGCACTTAACATCAGCAGTCCCACATACAGTGTGTTGCAGTAATCCAGCCAGGATGTAACTAAGGCATGTGTCACAGTGGCCAGATCAGATCTCTCAAGAAACAGTCGTAGCTGGCTAGTTTTAATTATGCAAATGCACTCCTGGCTACTGCTTTACCTGGCACCCAGGCTCAGGGATGAATCCAGGAGCACCCTCAAACTGTGTACCTGTGTTTTCAGGGGGAGTGTAACTCCATCCAGCATGGACTGCATCCATATCCCTTGATTTGCCCTTCAACTAACCAAGAGCACCTCCGTCTTGCCAGTATTAAGTTTCAGTTTATTCGCCCTCATCCAGTCCATTGCTTATACCAGACACTGATCTAGGGCTGAAACAGGTTCCTCAGATTTAGGTGGCCAGGAGAGGTAGAGTTTGGGTGTCATCTGCATATTAGTGACACTAAACCCCAAAACTCCAGACAATCTCTCCTGCTGGTTTCATATAGATGTCAAATAACACAGGAGACAAAACAGAACTCTGAGGAACACCACAGGCCAGCGGCTAGTGTTTCAAACAGGAATCCCCTGGCATCATCTTCTGAATTGTCTCCTCCAGGAAGGACTGGAGCCACCACATAATGGTGCCCCCAAGTTCCAGAGAGACAGGTCAAGAGGATACTGTGGTCGATAATACTGAAAGCCACTGAGAGGTCCAGCAAAAACAACAGGAACGCACACATACACACACTATTCAGTTCTTGGTGTAAGTCATCAAAACTAGGCCTGAGGGCAGATTGAAATGCTCCATATAATCTGTCTCGTTCAGGAACCTCTAGAGCTGAGAGGCCATAACCCACTCTAACACCTTCCCCAAGAATGTAATACTAGATACTGGTTGTGTTTTCCTCTCACTGCCACCAGTGGATTACCTCAATCCACAATATAAATGAAGTTTGTCAAAACACTTGCCTTGTGAGTGCAAACAGAACTTATTTATTGAAGTGAAGCCAATTTAATAATCACAGAAGTTCTTCAGATGAACATTGTACACAATCAAATCATTAACAGGTCTCTCAATACA